CAAGGAAACCCGGTTTTGATGTCGGAAGCCTCACCAATCAATTGTAATAATAATCTTTATTTCAAATTTCTAATGTGCGTTTCTACTGAGAACTCTGGAAAAACTCCACCAGCAATGCAACTGTTTAGATTTTAGCTGAAAATGTAAATATTTAATTGCGTTATTCCATCTTATTGCCCTGAGTTTTGTCACTCAATGGTTACGCCAGCTGAGGTCATGCGACAGCAAGGCTTAAAGGATGGGATCGCTCTTCATTAAATATTTGATATATACTTGTTGCGTTATAAAACGGCAATTTTTTTAAATTATTGCTAAAACGTAAAGAACTGTTGTTTTTATTGTTATTATTGTAATTATTGTTAATATTATTATTATTATTACTGGTGGCAAAATATGTTGGGACTTCAAGAACAAAAGCACTTCTTCCTTTCGTACAGTATACCTCACCCTTGTTTCTGGTGTTGAAATTTCCCGTTAATTTTTAAATAGTAAAAGTCAATAGAAATGTCACGGCACGACCAGCCTCAGAAGAAACGCGTGGTGGTGTACATAGTGACCCAATTAAGAAAAAAAATATGTGACACCTCGTTGAAAACCGTTAAAGAGTTGTGAAAGTCATTTACTGGAATAATTCAATATCAACTCGAAATAATTTGATAAGAAAATAATTGTCGAAAACAAAAAAATATTTTTGCAAATAAGGAATAATTGCGTGAAAAAGTTGTGGATTCTAATGCGGATCTGTTTATAAACAATTGATCATTTGTTCCCTGACAGCAGGCTGTTGCTCACTCGACGATGTTGGATGCAGGATGTTGGGCACTCACACGACCCCTTAAAACACAAAAAGCCTGGCCATTGGCCCTCTGCAGCTGCATAAGATAAATACATCAACATTATTTATATACAAGAATCATTTGAGACATTAGAAACATAAATTTAGTTTTAGATACAATACAGTAGTTTATAATGGGAAAAGACTCGTCGGTTTATGTGTATGGGGGATCAAATAATTATCTTGGTAAGTTTTTTTTTAATCGTTTGCGATGAGGATTTTGCTCACCTATGTTAAAGTAAATAGCTGAAGGAATCTTTAATGTTTTGGAATAAAATTTTACGGATTAGAGGGAGAAATGGACGATTGAGAGGATTGGTGTAATGCCAAGTTCATTACGTAACTGCGCATTCGGAATGTACCAGGGAGCTTTTGTGACGGCGCGTAGGAATCTATTTTGATAACAAAAATGGATTTTGTTGATGTTTGATTTGGCTGCGGCAGCCCACACAGGGAAAGGCGCCTTGACCCTAAGCCAGCGCTGCCAACTGGAGAAAAAATGACGTCAGAGCCTCCTTTCCCTTCGTGAGCAGGGGGAGGGGGCAGTGGGCCTTGGCCTTCGCCGGTGTTTCAGGCCACAGGAGTGGGAAACCTTCTACCTCCCATTCACTTTCTTTAGATTTGGGAAGAAAGGTCTCTCTTTGTAGATATTGGAACACTAGCGAAGAGTTTAGTGTGTTCGAAAGTATATATGTTGAAAAATCCAACCTACATATGAACTATGTATCTTTGCGACCTAGACAAAACTACGAGATGAAAAAAAATTCCGAGAATCGACATAGCCGGCAATCATGGGATGAGTTAAGGAATAAGCAGATTGCAGTTTATGGAAATGATACTGAAAATTGCGATGATTTACATTCTTAAACAAAACTGTACATAACAAATAATCCAGCCTGAAGTTCAAATTCTCTCACGTGACCCTTACCGGGTTCCTATTTGTTAATATTAATTATTATTTCAGAACGAACTAATTCGTTATATTATATACCATTGTATAAAATATTATTGTCTTAAAATGTTTAAACTGTCATTTACAAAAATGTTATCTAATAGAGGAATGGAAGTAGACTTACTGTACTAGTTACGATAAAGAGACTACAGACGCCACCGGGCGTTTGTTTTGAGGCTGGTCGTGCCGTGACATTTCTATTGACTTTTACTATTTAAAAATTAACAGGAAATTTCAACACCAAAAGAAGGGAGAGGTACACTATATGAAAGGAAAAAGTGCTTTTGTTCATGAAGTCCTAATATATTTTCCCACGAGTAATAATAATACTAATAATAATAATAATAATAATAATAATAATAATAGTAACAATAGCAACAGTAGCAACACTAGCAACACTAGCAACACTAGCAACAGTAGCAACAGTAGCAACAGTAGCAACAGTAGCAACAGTAGCAACAGTAGCAACAGTAGCAACACTAGCAACACTAGAAACACTAGAAACACTAGAAACACTAGAAACACTAGAAACACTAGAAACACTAGAAACACTTCTTTACTTTTTACCAATAATTTTAAAAAATTGCCGTTTTATAACGCAACAAGTGAATATCAAATATTTAATGAAGAGCGATCCGTTCCTTTAAGCCTTGATGTTGCATGACCTCAGCTGTCGTAAGCATTGAGTGACAGAACTCAGGACAATAAGGTGGAATAACGCAATTAAATATTTACATTTTTTCAGCCAAAATCTTAAGTTTCATTGCTGGTTCAGTTTTTCCCGAGCTCTCAATAGAAATTTGTAATAAAGGTTATCATTACAATTGTTTGGTGAAACTCAGGTCATCAAAATTTGGGTTTCTTTCGAACCTGCAGAAAAGTTACAAAATAAAATAAAAACAATAATAATAAATATTCTTGCAAATCGGTTTTTAATTTGTTGTAAAGTTGTGAAAGCGTAAGATGTACCCTTTCTCCATTGAGCGATTCAATTTTACCAAATTCATATATTCCAAAACACGCAGCAATAAACGCGTAAATAGCGATTCGTCATTGTCTGTGAACGGGAGAATGAGATCTGTGCCATGTTGTTAGTCTTCTTTCGCTCAACCAGAAGAAAACAATTAACAAAAATTGGAGTAATTTTTGAAAAAAAAAATAAAAGCTTAAGGCTTTGTGAATCCCCAAAACGCGTAATACTAGTTTCAAATTAGCATGACCTCGAGTTCACTCAGATAGATGGGGAAATATCGATTTTGGAGAAAATCGTCCGAATGGTTTGGGCTCTAGCCTTGCACTAACACAAAAGAACGTTTTCTCGTCAGCTAATTTTCCGGTACCAAGGACTTGCCAAACCAAGGTGACTAGGACGTCCCGTTTTAGCCGGGTCACTCCCTTATTCCCAGATTCTGCCCTGTATATTTTGACAGGATAACGGGTCGCCAGAATGTTCTTTTTCTTTGCCATGACCTACAGTTATGAAATGCCGTCAACATAATTAAATTTATCATATACATTTTATCATGTTGTGTTACGTTTGCTCTGCTTTGTTAAAAAAATGAAGAGCGACAATATATTGCGTTCGTGAATTACATATTAACAGTGTTTAGAGAGTGAGCTGTGGTTTCTAGATAGGAAAAATTGCATCTATGGCGTCATTCGAGCTGGTATATGCTTTATGGCTATCGATGAATTCAATAATGCGATCCTTCTGCGTCTGTGAGTCTCTTTGCGACTTAGTACGCAATCTTCATTGACCTACTTCGCACTGAATAAAGATGCAAATGAAACAAATACGTATTTTTTTTAAAAATGTTCCTTTTTAAGGGATTCTTTGGTTGACGTGAAATGAAGGCTACTTCAGCAAGAAAGTTAATTTATTTATTCCAAACCTAAATATTTGTGATAAAATTCATCGTCTTTTTTTCCCTTTTATCTTTGTGACAATATCTGAAGTGATCGGTTATGTTTTAAAAATATGATCATCTTACACCAAACGTGAATTCTGATTACAGAACATGTGAGATGAAGTAATTTATTACATACAGGAAAAAAACATTGTCGCATAATACTGCCGCAGAATTACAATATATTACTCTATACTATGGAAGTAGTATGGAAGATTGTAAAAATTAAAGAAAAATACCTTTAATCCCAGTATGAAAAGGATAATATGTATTTCCTTGACTAGAGAAAAGTGCGATATTAAATATGTCGTAAGTAGAATTTTCAATAAAACTCTTATTGAAAGGGAGTATTTGAATAGATGGATGAAGAATTAGTTCGATACAATTTCCAAAACTGTAGGTAATCATAACAAATAATATGAGAAAATGTGTGCTGTTGAAGCACTAGCGGCGCCAAGAGACAACAAGAGGCAGAATATCCAGGGACCATTAATTTGAAATAAAATTCCCTCTCTCCCGCCCCAATACATAAATAGAATTCATTCTTTCAGACTAAAGAAATAACTTATACCGACTTATTTGAATTAGAAGTACATACGATCTACTTATTTTTAATGAAACAAGTGGTGGTAAACAGCACGTACTTTCTCGCTCTAATTTGCTCGTAAATCGAGGCGGAAAGTACTCAAGTATTCCAAAAATGTACAAGAGCTTATATTAAAAAAATTAAAACCTTAAGGCTTCGTGAATCCCCAAAACAAACAATTCAACCTTTTTTGGGAAAATTTGGAAAATGTCTTAGGGGCTTCATTTAAAGTACCGCCCAAAATTAAATTTTCAGTTTCAATTTCAAAGGGTCGCGACATAGCCAATTCGATTGGGGAAGATCAATTTTGGAGAACATTAGTTTTTTCCTTAAAACTTTTGGTACGGTTAATGCTAAACGCACTGAATTACATGACATATATGCTATTATGTTATATTCTTGGGTTTTTCGAAAATTAAACAAATGTAATTTTTTCAATAACTTTCACGTCAACTATATTAACATTACACGTACGTATATTACAAGTACGTTTTAATAGATTATTGCCTTTGTGATTGTCAGTGTTCATGAAAAATCAAAAGTTTTTTGTGTCTCTCTTCTCTGTTGCGACCTCGAAATCTACAAAAACGCAGGTGCTCTCCTTGAAAACAAGCAGAACAAAGCCGACTACGACGTTGTACGGATTTTGGGCGTGGCTGCCAGCTTATACACTGGGTTAGTAAGGTAAGTTAACGTCAATCTTCTTTGGCTCAGCAAACGATGGTGCAGGAAGAAAGGAGGTATATGTTCTGGGTATAATTATTTCTCCATACTCAAGGGTGTTTCATGTTTAACGAAGGCTATTGTCTTGGCTGTGCACTAGCGAAGCCAGTCGACTTGGCCGTTGCCGAACTTTGGTATAAAAAGGTGTCAAATTTTGCTGTACCTAGGGAGCGATGCGTTTGGTGACTGCTGCGGGGGAGGTGACGGAGGCGACGCGTGTGACTGCAGCGGGGGAGGAGACCGAGTCAACGCGGGAGATGATCGCGGCGGGGGAGGAGATGGCCGTGTCCACGGCACAGGGATCTAGAATGAATGCACGGGTCCCGAACACTGATATTCAGGTGAGGAGAGGCTTCGCTAATTTGTTGCAGATGAACTGTCGTAGTATCATGAATAAGGAATCCGAATTTTGGAATTTAATTGAAGCATGTGATCCTGATGTCATAATAGGAACAGAGTCTTGGCTTTCGGACGCGGTAGCAAACCCGGAAATTTTTCGTTCAGACTACATTACGTTTAGGAGAGATCGCGAAACTAGAGGCGGTGGTGTATTTATATGCGTGAAAAACACATTTAATATCAGATCAAATTGGGTTGATAAAGAATTTGAAATGACGGGTGTAGAAATTTTCTGTTCAGGAAGTATCTTAGACATTATTGCTTGCTATCGTCCACCGGGCAACAGCTTTGAAATTTTAGGCGCTCTCTACGAGAAAACAAAAAATATAAATAACCGTCATGTAGTTATTGCTGGAGACTTAAATCTCCCAGACGCAAATTGGAAGGGGATTGTTTGCGAAGGGAACGTCCAACAACTAGTCAATCGACTTGTCTGGGACAGCGGATTAGAGCAGGTAGTAGACAGGCCGACACGGCAGGATGCGATTCTGGATATCTGCCTAATTAGACCGAAAGATTTATTCTTGTCGTGCGACGTTTTAGAAGGCATAAGTGACCATAAAGCCGTTTTATTCGATTTACAGTTAAATATTTCAAAGAAACGTATTACCGCCGGTATTCTAGTGAAGGAATACAAGAAAGCGAATGTACAAGGGTTTCAAAATTACTTAAGAGAACAATCAGGCGAATTTATTTATTTATTTATTTATTTACTTACTTAATGTTAAAATACTGTTTGTGACCTTTTCTGGAGAAAATCATATTCTGTGCACATTTTCTACCTACCCTAACCCATTTACAAGCTGAATTCTGAATACAAATGGAAACTAGAGTTTTGCTAAGAACTAATCAGAGAGTATTTGCTCCGGTGAAATAAAAATATTTTGCAGAAGAAAATCGAATACAGATTTTGGCTATTGTCCCTCACTGTGAAAGAATTGACTTTCTGCGGAGAGAACATACAACATTATTTGAATAACTGTATCTCCCACTGAACTCTAGAAAATGTGCACAGAGTGAAGTTACATTATTGCCCAGAAGCAAAGCAAGGGGCCATCTCAGCATTTGCTCAAAGGATCAAGGAAAGTGAATGGAAAAACTGATCGCTTTATTTGACAACCTGCCCTAAAACACACTGAATACACACTTGGCGTTGTTGCAGGTTCACCTGCCAGCCTTTGCATTCATGAAGCGTTTTGAAGACCAAATAGCAGTTGAAAATCAACGAAGATCCTTCAACTCTTCTTTCTTCATCTCGTGTTCTTTGAAGGCCAAGGAAGCAGCTGAAAGTCAACAAAGTTCCTTCACCTCTTGTGAATATGTAACGTAAGCTAATGTATTAAAGTTACTCATTCTTTAAAATTATTCCTGAGGAGTTTTTATGGAATATTAGACTTGTCTTCCAGAACCTTCTTAGGTCTACACATTTGTATCAGACAAACAATTCTCAGAATGGACAGATTTTCTTAGATGAAAATAACTTATGAAACTGACAAAATGAGTTATAAGTAACTGAAATTAAATGTATGTGGAGTAAATAAGAAGTATTTTTTTTAATTCTCTTCTTTATTTCATTATCTTTCAAAAGACGTAGGGTAGAGCGTTAGGTCTTTAAATCTTTGCGACATTGACATATTTTTTCCTTCCCAGTTGCTTCAAGGGAATTTTTGGCATTGTGGTATGTGAAACTCTCATCTAAATGTTCATCTTATGTTTAAGGTTTTACTTCAGAAGTGTGTTTTTGGCAAACATTTCTAAAATGGAAACTTTCTAATTGAGAAAAATGTGTAAAGATCTGATGTTCAGTATTTTTAACTGCTTTATTACAGTGTCTTGAAGACACATAATCATGGTAAGGCTGACAGAAGGTTGTTAGTTTCTGCTTTTGTACTAAAATAACTCACATTGAACAGCAATTGTTGAGAAGCTAAGCACTGTACCAGTTTTCTTTGTGGTCGACATTTGGGATGGACACGACACTGCCGGTTGTTTCTTACCATCAAGTGATCTCCGATGACTTAATCTGTCCTTGTGGCTGAGTAAAGGGGACTAGTGCAAAGTTGGCCTTGCAATGAAGAGCATATGCACTCGCATTGGGAATGCGGCAAGGTACAGCCATGGTCTGCAAAGGGGATTGGTACAGGGTATAGTTAGCTCTGCCAAATGAAAGGATTGAGGCAAAGCAGGGCTAAGGCATGCTCCACACAATCATAGAAAAAAAAGTTAAAAGTTCTCAAAAACACAAAGGTGCATATCAAATACTGAAAAAGCTTGTTTACAGAAGTATATTGGCACCATCTGATACAACTGTATAAATTTTGTTTAATCTGTGCCTGAAGTGTGGTTAGCACTAAGGTATCCTTGTCCCTTCACACGCATGAAGGACTCCTCTTGAGTATTTTGTTTTTGTGTTTCCTTTGTACACGTATGTTTAATTAATTCACCAATGGAAATAGGTGTTAAGTGGGTTTTGTCCAAGGATGTGACGTGGTTTTGGTTTGTGTTTTCTTTCTTTCTTCATCCCTTCGAATAAGCTGATGAATTGTAAAAACTAAATTTAATAGGGGAGAAACGTCTTCCTAACATGTGCCTTCTTGATTAAATTCTCTTGCTTGATAATTGACTTACTGTGTGAAGGTTCATGATTTTGTAAAATTTACGTTACGTTCTTATGTTCACATGCACCTATTACTGGGCAACCAGAAGGAATATTAGCTTTTCTGATTATTCGCAAAGTAGAGAAACATTTAAGAGGATCTAGGGGATTCTTACTTCTCATATTTTGCAGGAATGTTGACTTATCAGCTTATTCACCAGGATTAGAGAAGTACTTTCTCAAAAAATGGCAAAAGTTTAATAGTTAGTGTAAGTGAAAGGAGACAAAGAAATGTTAAGAAATACACAAGACCTTGCACAAGAAAGAATCAGTCGTTTGTGAGTAAACAACTGGTCTGCTTCAGATCATCTCTAGGACTTGCATTCCAAAAAGTTGGTGAATAGATTATGTTTAAAAGCAACATAAGGCCTTCCGTTTGGATTAGAGCCCTTTATACTGCAGGACACAAGTTCATCTGGAGATGTACTTTTTAACTCTGATATGGTGAAGCATTTATAGTACCAGTAGTATTATTATTATTCATTAGATTCAATTGTTTTTGTATATTTCATGACGAATTCTCTGTTACTGAAATAATGGCTTGTTTGTAAATCAAATCCAAAAATACGTTTGTTACTGTTGAACTGCCAGCTGTCTTTTTACTGGGGCAGGCATTACAAGAGTATTTCCCTTACTTGTTATAAAAAAATGTTTTGAAAACTTTACTCGCCCTCCGAAATGTCTTTGGCTGCTGTCAGTTTAGGGCAGTCTCCTTATCTGGGTTAAAAAACCTGTGTGCAATGTGTGTAATTGAAGTGGAGAAATTGTCTTGAAATCAATTTGTGTATTTTAACTGAAGCTTGCTAACTTTTCAAATCCTGCAAAGTGAAATTTCAGGCAGATAAGCGACATAAAAGGGTTTGTCAGTGTGTATCTAGTGTTATAATTTCAGATTATTGAATGGTTATAGGCAAAATGGTCCAATCTTGTGCCATAACATGACTTCTTCTTGTGCATGAGATAAAAGATACCAAGGAATGAAAATACTGTTAAGGACTGTTATTGTTGAGTAAGTTCAGAATGCCAACCAGCATTTCTTGCCCTTCTTGCAGTTAAACCGTTCTGCATGTTCTTCGTCCTAGAAGAAAATTTACTGTGTTGTGTGACCTCTCTTAGTGATTCCTTTATTTCTTGAATTTCACTGTATTTACTCATTCCAATTGAAATGCTTGTTCAATTGAAACACATACACGTAATATACATGAATAGAACCCAAGACAATCATGATCACAGACTAGCAGGGTTTATCAAGCAGTTGCAAATAGTATCAATAAAAAGGTGATTCATGGTATTATCCACAGTGATATTGATTTGCCAGATCAAAACTATCCAACACCATTCCAACCTGCAGTCCTTTCAAACCATTATGAGAATGCACAGATATTGATAAAATGTTATGCTAAATTTTAAGCTCAGTCAATTGACACGTACACTCAAATGCATTGTGCTTGAGGCGCAAGAATATTTCAGACTACTATTATGTACCAGTTCATCTTTGTAAACAAAAGATAGTCAAGGTAAGGTTTTGATCGGTATAAAAATCAATGTTAGTTTTGATGAACGGTGGCAAAAATAATTTAGTTGTCTAGATGTTGAATTTTAAGCAGATAATTATCTCTAGTAAACAATTTTAGATGCAAATTCTGAGTTGTTTCAAAGTCACTAGTAGTGTGTGTAGTGTCACCGACGTTAAGAAGTCGTTCTCTTGTAGTAGCTAGATTTGTTAAATCAATTTCAAAGTCATAACATATTCTTGATTTTGATAGATTTGCTAGTTCTTAATATGTTGTGATCGATCTGTTTGTATTTCCTGGTTTCCAATTAATCCAAAAGTCCAACGATTGATAGGGTAACAAAATAGAACCACCATCAGATGATGGTTTGAATTTGGAATGGCAAGTCTTGACTATTTCTTCAGTCGAAAAAGCTGTCCAATCCGAAGTAAAATTAGTACCGGTTTGGGGATGTAGACCGTACGCGTAAGATGTTCCTTTGTGGTCGTCGGTGAGTCCAATAATGCCTTGTGAGACGTCAGCGTCATCTGCTCTTGGTCTTTTGCCTGCCATGTTTCTGTTTGCGGCCTCTGTGACTTCATTGAACCTGGTAAAGTTGGATGGTAGAAACGTTTTGCCTGGTTAGTGACTCCTGAAAAGATAGATTCTTTTGCTTTTCTAATGTTATCAAAAATATTTACGGGAAATTCAACTGGTCATATGAATAATGTGGTTTTGCTGTTTATGTTCTTGCATGGAAATGGAAGATATTTCTTTTCCAATACTACAAATGTGGCACAGAATATGCCATGCAAAGCCCGGAAAATGTATTGAACCTGGTGGTTCACAAAGCGGGGTCTCTCTGTGTTTGAGTTTTCAAGTATTTCGGGATGTAATGATGGAAGGTATAGAGGAAGAGTCTTTCATAAAGAGGTGCTGCTTCTTCTTCTGTTAACGAATAAATGAGTGGTGTTATTCGTTGTAATAACAACTATTTGACGCAATACAGCTTCTTTAAGCCAACCATGATTCTTATAAAGCCAACCATGATTCTTGTTAAGCCAATTATGATCATTTTTGAGCCAACTATGTTTCTTGAGCCCACCAATATCCTTGTTAAACCAATCAATATCTTTTTAAGCCAACAACGATCCTTGTTGAGCCCACCATGATACTTTTTAAACAAACTAATATCATTGTTGAGCCAATCATGATCCTCTTTCTTCCAAGCAAAATACTTGTCATCCGTGAAGTTAGTTAAGCGTAACAATATCCTTGCTAATCCAATCATGATCCTTGTTATAACAACCATGATCCTTGTTAATCCTACCAATAAAATTTATGAGTCAATTCAAGCCACTATTTTCCCTCTTTTGACAGTTTTGACCCTTTTGACTCTTTTAACACTTTGCACTCTTTGGACTCTTTGAACTCTTTGGACAATATATTATTATGACTATTTTGACGATCAAGTTTAGCTTCCACCAAGCAAGTCGATCAAGTGGGGATTCGTCCCAGCAAGTCGGTCAAGTGAGTAATCGACACCAGTCGATCACGTAGATTCCCGATCAAGCAAGTCGATCAAAAAGCGGAACCACCCAGCAAGTAAAACTAGTTTATTTTTAACTCAGCGAGTCAATCAAGTAACGAATCGGCCCAGCAAATCGATCACGTGGGAGATTCACCCAGCACGTCAATCAAGTGATGGACAGTACCTACTAAATGATCAATTGATGGATTCGCCCAGACGTCAATAATGTGGGTTATCGACTTAGAAATTCGATAAAAAAGGATACTGGCCCAGGAAATCGATGATGTATGGGATTGCACAGCAAACAATCGAGTGAGGGACCGACATAGCAAATGGATAAAGTGGGAGATCGACCCAGCAAGTCGATCAAATGGTGGATCGAGCCAGCAAGTCGATCAACTAGGGGATCGACCCAGCTAGTCGATCAAGTAGGGGATCGAATCAGCAAGTCGATCAAGTGGGGGATCGATCCAGCAAGTCGATCAAGTGGGGGATCGAGCCAGAAAGTTGATCAAGTGTGGGATCGACCCAGCAAGTCGATCAAGTGGGGGACCCGTCCAGTAAGTCGATCTGCCTATCCTGAGTGTTATAACTATTTCAACTTTTTTTGTTTTGACCGTTTTGACTCAATTTCATACAATCTCGCGTGAGATTTTCAGCGTTGTAGCTGCACTAGTTTTGGAAATTGAGTCGTTTAAAGTGACTATTATTTTTGGAGCTATATTTTAAATACGGACTATTATTTTTTAAATTCTTGTAGTTTTAGAAAATGTGTCATTTGGCATAAACGGATGAGAACTGATGCCTCTAGTTACCCAAAATAGAAAGCCTTGCATTTTCGCTAGTTGCAAACTCAAAAAATAATAGTCAATTTCAAATGGCTCTATCTCCTCAACTACTCAAGCCACAGGGCTGAAATTCGCACACGAGTTTGTATGTAGTTTTCTATTTAATGTGAGATTTAAATGATGCTTCTCTTTTGATAATAACTAGCTTGAAGATGCAATATTTGTAACTGCGATTTTGGACATTCAGTTTTTAACTCAAAAAAGAAACTCGCATATTTTACATACTACGCAACAAGAATCAATTCCACAACCTCTCATGTGTTTTAAAAATCATATATTTTATGAAAATGTTATCGTTTTTCATCAACGAATGAGAAATGTGCCCTCAAAGAACCTTGAATTTAAACCCTTGTATTTCGAAATCTCAACGCTCTAAAAATAATAATCAAATTCACAAGGCTCTATCTCCTAAACAATTCGAACTATAACGCTGAAATGTACACAACTGATAGTATGTACTCTGCTCTTTAATTTATGTCTGAAATGATGCTTCTCATTTAATAGTACTGGCTTGAAAATCCAATATTTGTAACTGCGATTTTGAATCTTCAGTCTTTAACTCAAAAAAGAAACTCGCATATTTCACAATCTATGCAACAAAAATCAATTCTGGAAACACTCACGTGTTTCAAAATTAAGTGTTTTATAAAAATGTTATCGTTTGTCATCAACGGATGAGAAATGTGCCCTCTAAGAAACTTCAATATAAACCCTTGTATTTCGAATTCTCAACGTTTTAAAAGTAATAGCCGATTTCAAAAGTCTCTATCTCGTAAAGTATTCCAGCCAAAACGCTTAAAATTACACTCCAGATTGTATGTACTGTACTCTTTTGATTAAGTCATGAAAGATGCTTTTCTTTTGATAATAACCAGCTTGAAAATGTTATATTTTTAACTGGGAATTTGAACCTTCAATTTTTAACTCTAAAAAGGAACTCGCATATATCACAAACTATGCAAAAAAATCAATTCTACATACACACGTATTTCAAAATTCATGTATTTTATGAAAATATCATCGTTTGTCATATATGGATAAAAAATTTCCCTCTAAGATCCTTTAATTGAAACACCTGTATTTCGTATTCTCAACGTTCTAAAAATGGTATATTTTTACGTAATGAAGCGGGTATTGTGAACTTTTAGTGGTAGCCGAAACCGTTATTGACATGTATTTCCGAAACTAATTTTTCTACGGGAAGCTGGTACTACGGGAGGCTGGCTTTCTACGGCTCCTTTAATTTTTCGTATCTTTTTCTACTTACATACCAGTTTTAACAATCCTGTTTGTCTTTTGGTGGATTTCTTAAATTAGATGCAATGTAAGCCTTATCTTAACAAGGGAGTATCGCTAATACTATTCACAAAATGTTATATTCTTTAAATGATATTTCAATTTACCATTGCCGTAATAACATGTTTAAAAAATCACTTTCCTTGTGTTTGTGGTTTTCTTAAAATTAGTTGTAAGGAGGCAGCGCGAGTATCTATAGAGACGAGCCTCTTCTTAGCGAGGCATCGAATAAACTATTCACCAAATGTTATATACTTCAGATGTTATTTCAATGTACAATTGTCATAATAACATTTTTTTAAAAAAAACTTTTCTTGTATTGCTAGTTTTATTAAAGTTTGTTGTAAGCACGGCCGCGCGAAGATCTGTCTTTCCAAAGACGAGCATCTTCTTAACGAGGTTTTATCGCTTATACTATTCACTAAATGTGTTTTTCATTAAATTATACTTCAATTTACACTTGTTGCAATAACAGTTTTAAACATCCTTTTTCTTGTTTTGCTGGATTTCTTAAAATTAGATATGCGAGCCAGAGCAAAGATCTGCCTACCCAGAGATGAACATCTTCTTTACGCTTACATTCTTTGCTAAATATTATATTCTTCAAATGATATTTCAATTTACAATTACGAAAATAACATTTTTCAAAAATTACTATATCTCTTTCTGCTGGATTTCTTAAAAGTAGATATAAGCGAGGCAGCGCGAACATTTGCCAACCCAAACACGAGCTTCTTCTTAACAAGGCATTACCGCTTAAACAATTTACTAAATGTTATATTTTTCAAATGATATTTATATTTACAATTGTCGTAATTACATTTTTTAAATCCTTTTGCTTTTGTTTGATTTGATAAAATTAGATGTAAGCGAGGCAGTGTGAAGAGTTGCCTACACAGAGACGTGCCTCTTATTAACGGGGCATTATCGCTTATACTCTACACTAAATACTACCTTTAATAAAGCAATTAAGAAAGACTTAGTAACTTTAATATGCCCACTTCCTCAAAACTGAATTTTGTCAAATTAGAACACAAAATGTCTAAAAGTTGATTAGAACTCTTCATGAGTTAAATTGTAGAACACTTTAATATGCCATGTCAAAATCAAAATAGCATTGTAGAACTGTAATTTTTATTCTTCGATTTAGCTTAGATGTTGTTCTGTACAAAGATCTCCTGTATTTCGTAGTTTCCAGAACGGAAATGTACTGAGGAAGCCAAACTAATACATCATTGTTATGTAACATTTAAAAACACAAGAGTTAAAAGTTGGTTGTAGGTTAGCAACATGTCTTTGGCCATGAAATAATCTCCACTCAGGATAAAACCATTCTCATACATAATGACAATTTTTGAAATTGCCACTTTTATTGTGCACTGACAACACTGTTCAACTACTACTTATTTTAAAGATAGAATGTTTGAGTCTATCTTCATACAACCTAAATAGAAATTAAATTTATAGGAAGCATACTTTTCTTTAGACAATATTCTCTTATTTATGAATTTACGAAAAATTAAAGGAGCCGTAGAAAGCCAGCCTCCCGTAGAAAAATTAGTTTTCTTAAGAAATGTTTTATACATAATCTCATGTCATGGTTCCCAAAGAATAATAAGAAAGTTTTTATAGTAGAATATTTATGACAGGGCTCTCTGTTAAATTTATGTTGTGAACTTAATTGGAATTGTCTTTCACATTTCAGTTAAAACTCCTGAATCCCTTGGTTGTCACCTAAAGCAGCTTCTTATGGAAGCTGAAAGAAAAGTGCAAGAGTTAGGTGGTGGCCTTCAGCTATTGAAGATACATCTTGTAACAATAATAATAATAACAACAATACTAGAGCATCATTTAGTATTATCAGCAGTCATGGTGCTTCTGCAACAATGACTGGCTGCGGAGGTGGAGCGGAAGCAGCCGTTGTCAAGCAGCTACTGCTCTGGGAGAGACAAGCTAAAGGATTAAAGAAAATATTAGGTTTTGATCAAGCAAGTACATGATCCTGCATTGTATTAAATGAAAATATAGTGCACAAGGAAAGTCTCTCAGCACTGGGCCAAGTCAGGACCTCCTATTAAGAATGACAGTGATATTGTTCGCACACGGATCGCTGCGAAACAAGTGAAGGGAATAACACGTGCAGCTTATGTTATGATTGTGGTGAGTGTAGTATTTAAGTTTTCTTTTGTTACATGCAACAACCAACATATTTTTTGTTGTTTTTAGAAGGACCACTGCAAAGAGACTTTTCTGGTGCTGTATTAGTTCCAGTTTTGTAGAAATACACTGTCTTAACAATAACAATCATTACTAAATAGGACCTCCAGATGTACCTTTCTTGGTTGCTATTGATATAACTGATCAAATTCTGTAAATGTAGGATTCCAAGAGCCAGAACAACAAGACTCGCCTATATGCACCAAATTCAAAGGTAACATTACAATTATGATTATTCATGTTCCATTTGTTTAGGGCAAATATGTTGTGTTAACATGTGAAGTAATTTAAAAAAAAATCTTTCTGTAGTTTAATGGAGCTGCTCAGAAGCCTTCAGTTCTTTAGCTGGAGAGAGAGAAATTTGAGATATGAAACACATGGAATGTCACATAGGTGATCTGATTCAAGGACAAAGGTATTATTTCCGAGTAGCTTGTGGCAACTTGAAAGGATATGGAAAGTTTAGGCAGTCTACACCTAAATCGGTTATTCCTTCTAGTAAGTAACTAAATATGTTGCTTTCAGAGAGAATTGAGGATTTACATGAAAGTTAAATGCATAATAGTAATACGATATTGATCTTCTTATATATTTTCTTTTATACATTATCCTGAAATTCTTCTCATTTTAGCTTAAAAATTAAATCATTGTATGATCTAGAATTTATGATTTTCTCAAAACATATTTTTTCCTTCACAATATTAAAATTGAAAATGATAATTTTAGGTTGGCGAGATGTTGAGGTCGTGAGCCAAGATTTGCAGGACGTCTGCAACTTCTTGAAGATCTGTTTTCTGAAATAAGAAGCTCAAGACCAGAACATGCAGCAGAAATAAAAGCTACTGTTCAAGCTGGAGAACTCCTGGAATTCAAAGACGAAATCAAAGAAAGAAAACTGCTATTAAACAACTCTTTACTATGGCATCAAAATTACAGAAAAATTTAAGAAGGTATGTTTATACATATGTACTCTTTTGATGTAGCATTAATATTCACTTTTACTTCTGGCTTTCCCTAGACTTTTTCAGGGTTTTTCATAAAATATGTAATGATGAGGTACGACCCGGTTTTGACAAGTGCCGGCCAAATTACTCGAAGTTGGCGCCTTGTCTTCTTTAACAGGGCGTTTTGACTGTTCTTTGGAAAGCGTGGTCAAGGAAACAGATTATACATTTTAAACTTGGCGCACCGAGCCGTCTTAATTGTCACCAAAAAGCCGCGCGAATTTTTCTAACTCTTCCGACCAAACATTCATTTCTTTATGCAAAGTCCTTTCAAGTCGAGGATCAACTTCTTTATATTAAGTTCGGGAGGCGTAAACCGATAAGATCGCACCAGCTACCTTGATGGGTAAAAATTCCCCGCTAAAAATTGGCATTGGTCGAAATGAGTCTCGATCGCAGACGCCGGCTTTCCTTTTACGACGAAGGTCATGGGAAACTGAGTAAAGCGTTTTGAACATTTCGGCCAGAGTAGTCCAAGCACTGGATTTGTAGATAGAAACACGTAGCTAAAAGGCCACAAAAAATTTCGTAAGAAAGAGTCAATTTCGTTGACCAGAGGTAACTTGACAAACTTCTTCAATACTCGTTATAATTCTTTCTCCAAGTAACAATCCTTGTCATTGTGTGTCATCTCTTTTCCAGAACGCTCGTCTGACAAAAACTACCGGTCGATAAGAAGGCGATGCTTCCATTTGCCATTTCCATCAAAAATCCTCTTCCCAACTTTTCTTCGACTATTCGCCGCACTGAAACATACGATTTCAGCAAATGCTAATGGTGTTGTTACGTAGGGATAGGACATTATACGTTTAGTGTTTTACATATGCTGATTATCATTTTTTTCTTTATTTCAGGATTTCGTTAAAATTTTCTTTTCTCAGACGTTACACTAAACTAAAACTTTAAAATATTAACAATTTTATTTCAAAACGTCATAAATTAATTAAAAAGTTAAGATTTCATAAGTCCTTACAATAAAAAAAATATTTTTTTCCTCAGTAGTATGATGATTGAATCTGTTAATATTACAAAAAAAGGAAAAATATAAAAAACTGATCTACATTCTAGAATAAAAAATTAAAATGGCACAGTTGACCCTCACTCATGCAAGCCTTATCTGCATCTCCGTTATACACTTTTTTTATCTTTTGTAATTCAATGACCATAAATAACGACTTCTCAACGCATACAGATTGATAGCACGAAGCATTGGCTTCTCGAAGTAAAATATATAAGAAGAATGCCCATATCAGGAGCGCTACGGAGTTCTTATTATATGCAGAGGTGAGTGAGCTAAGAATCTCCATATGGTCATGAGCGAATACCACTTGCACTTTGATTTAGTGTCAGTGTTATCGCACGTGAAGCTGCATCAGGATACCCCCATCCATCTAGTCCCCGTAAGTTGTGATAGTTTCTATCTTTATGTCTTTCTCCAGTATTGATCACGATAATGATTGAACCATCTCCACCATGAATAGGCGTGATTGGATCTTCCGACGTCTCGAGTTATTACAAAACTTCTCGATCACCTTTTCAGCCCATTAGCTCTTGCTGCATGAATTTCATCATCTCTAAAAGCGTGTTAAAGTTGTATCAATCTAAGTCATTATAATCTTAATTAAAATCTTATTGGCGATCAAATTATTATACTTGTTACAGCTAAGTAATGATACTGTTTATGTGGATACACAAATGCAGTTGAATTGTGTGAGTTATTTACTGTCCACGTCTCACTACCTTTGAAATTTGTACCACGAAAAAATAAACCTTAGATGGCAAATATTTAATACTGCAAGTATTTAATAATTATATACTATGTATACCACATGGTGATCCCCACGAAAAACATAAATAGACTTTTATGTCATTCCACATACACACCCCAGCTCCAGAATGGTATTGCAGAGTGACACATATACCGCCATCCCTTTCCATCTTTTAATATAGCCTCTTTTAGTCTATTATTTACAAATTTTTAGTGCTAATTGTATTATCATTCTCACCATTATTCTTTGAATTATGATTTAGATACAAATAAAATATCTTAAATCCATACAACGTAAGATTTGAGATCTAATTTTTATATCAATATTTCCACAGTCCGAATCTGTACGATCGACCACATGTAAAAGAGTGTTAGCATATATATCTAGATTTCTGTGAATGAGAATTAACAAATAAACAATTTACGTTGATTATAGTTCTAGCGGTGAGCATTGGGAACTAAAGCCATGAAGTACGATGGCGATATTCTAGTTGATTCAATAGTCTCAGTCCTATTTCGAGCGTGTTGAAAGACTATGATACACAACCGGAAGCGTTGCGAAAAAATTGTTTCAAAACAGATTCTGATAGTCAACAATTGGAATGGCCTGCAGGCATCGTCTGTCGTAGCCTTCTGCGATATCGGAAAATTCGTTCCGAAACGCCGTCCCGCTTTCATGGCCATTTCAGTATTTGGTTCAATAGTTCCCTAGTAATTTATCGTGTCGTCACGGAGCTTAAATCCGGCGAATAAGAGGTTCAATATGAGTTGCTCTAGGGCGCCAACAATACCATTTTCAGCCAAGAATTGCGGAACGATCTTGCTTTGAGATGCGCTGGAGCATTTCGTGCAAAACACTATAACACAGTTCCTTGGTATATGCCCGATTTATTCACAAGCCTCACCCAACGATCCTTCACCTCACAATTTATCTACTGTGAAAAACGTTTAGAGAAAATCACCACAAAGTATAACTATATACTGACTTTTACTCTCCAATACATATACCCTTTCTTTTGAAACATTATAATATCATTTTCTGAATCATATTCTTTGAAATCATAGTAAAACTTTAACCTTCCCTCTATTTGAAGTTAGCGAGCAATGTGCTACGACACCTGAGAGCTTCCTGCATTCTGTCTTCCGCACTTTTTTCGTAGTTTTACGGACAAGATTTTCTGATCACCTATCCGATTCCTGGCACGTAGTAAAGTGGCTCCTATTTGAAAAATCAACACACACTCTTGTTTAATCAACTAAGTGAGAGAATTTTATCGCAATGACGATGGATCAGAGAAAGTTCTGCACTATACATCATCAGCCATCATTTCAGTAGGTAACACCCAGAATAACTATTTCTAATATTATTTAGTCTCTCAAGTATTTTCCATCACACATTCACAAATAGCTATCTTTAGTCTATTTGTGAAGTAGGATCGATGATGTGGTTGAAACACAATAATGATTTTCGCATCCCGAGCGGAGATTGTTCATTGTTGCCTGTTGCCCTCTCCAGTATTTTTCTAGATCCCAACTGAAGATTATGCCCGATGCGACGATTTTATTTATAGAGAACATTATCACCATGTGAAGGCCTCTCTTCTGTGCCTAGCTGGCATATTAGTACAACGAGAGTCGATCAGTATTAGAAAACATATTTTCAGCCCCATCTTTTTTAAGGAACTATTATCGTCGAACCGCGTAAAACTGTATCGCTGATGATTTTCACATTGGCTCTCACTATGAAGAGCGTGGATCGTCTTTCAATGCCTTTCTTCCATCACAAATGAGTGTCTTGATTTTAGTCCTACATGTAAAAAACGGATTATTAACGACTCCTCTCTAACATTGTTTACAATACTCTTTACTTTATCCTATACACCAAATTAAAATTGTGGAGTATACTGCAAAAGATAATTATTTCTGATACTTTTATTCCATTCTCTTTCTGAAGCAAAACTTTATGGCGCTTCGGCACCCATGCTCCCATGCTCTTCACGACCGAGGTCAAACCCATGTACACTGAGATGTCACATGTGTCTAATTATACCTGCTAGTGTGCTCATCTATGAGAGCCTACTGCTGTATTCGTGTATATAATAGAAACGGCAACTCAATCTCTCGACTAACATCCCAATAACATTACATCATATTTCCTGCAGTCCATCGAATCCTCTAACAAATGCTAGCGGCTCAATTTGATGGGTCCGCGAATATACAAAATCACAAATCCAAAATTCAGAAAATAAATAGAAGCAGATTAGTTTTTGTTTATTAAATTCAATTAATTAACTAGTTAAACAAATTAAAATTTTAGCAATTAATGAGAATGCAATTACTATTTAAAATTCTCCAGGTTTACTTTAAAATTTGAACAACTATTAAATTGAATCTTTATCAACATTATTTTCCTTTTTGGAAGCGTATAAGTTAGTTAGTATGAAAATGATATTCAAATTATTAATGAATTTAATTAACACGTAGTACTATATACACAGAAAGTCTGATTATATAGCAAACAGTTATTCTTTTGCATACTATTATGTATTTTACAGGAAAGCTGTTATTCTTCCGTTTCTTAGAATCTAAGGTCTATTAAATGAATTTCTGATGTTTTTTACAGATGGGCTTTGTGTATGCAGATCTTTGGACAACTTCTTCCACAGACCAATAAAGGATTCTTCAGGGAAGATTAGTGATCTTCCACAAGTGAATTTATGTATGCTCCACCAAAATGTGGCATCTGTATTGAATTAAAGCAATGCTCCCATTTAAGTTAAAGTGGAAAAGGAAAACTGGGCTTACTCTGAGGAACCCAGTGGGGAATTGCTTACGGCACAGGTGATAGTTTGCTGTCTACACTGAAAATACTGGTGATACAAGATTTATCACGTGATAGTCTTTTATAACTGAGAGACAATGCTTTTTTGCATTTAGAAGAAATATAACTTATCATCAAGTAGCAGCGTCAGACTGGAAGAGGATTATAATTAGGTTATTAAGGAGAGGACGTTCTGGTGGAGCTCATTCAAGTAGTTTACTACAAAAAACTCCAAATGTCTTGACCTATTGGGCAAAATAAGGAATAAACCCACATGTGTCATCGTATGTAATATATAATTTTTCATTCATATTTTTGTTATATTGATATTTTATTTCTTTCATCAAATTGCCTTTTTTGAATTTTAGAGAAAGAATGGGAGTT